GATTCAGCTCTTGCTCCTCCTCCAATTTAAGTTGCAGACTGAGAAAGAGTCACTTTATTTTATTAGAAACCTGTTTGCCAAGCATTTGCACACAAATTAAATATGGTCCGCTGTTGGCGGGGGGCACAGGCTAAGTGGTTTCCGCTGCTGCCATTAGCTGTCGCTAGCAATTCAATCAGGCCAGTTAGCCAGCTCAAAAGCGATGGCCAACTTTGCAGACACGTTAATCGGGCCAACACAATTTCTTCATTTGCAGCGTAACTTTTTAATATCACCTCGACGATGATTATGACCCTGGCCCGCAGATGTTGCCCGGTCAAAAGGAGCCAGGCAACAAGTTTCCCCTTGTGGCCAGGACTCGTTCTACCAAGTCTGGTAAGGTTTTTTTTGTATTTTTTTGGTAGCACACACACACACACATATGCAGTGGATGGCCCATAAGCGGCACATTGCGTCCGTCTGCGTCTGCGTCTGCGTTTGAGTGCGATGCCATCTCTGGCATTAAATGCTGCAATAACCCGGAATCGCTGTCTCGGAAAGGGGAACTCTGGCTTCTTCTGTGACTAATGTCAACTCCTGACATTCATGGCAATAAAATTTCACTCCATACAGCATGTCAGCCCTTTGGTAGATTTGTACGGCTTGGTTTTATGTTTATGATTTAATTGTCAATAAAATAATCATTTGCAAGCCCTTTTGCCACTGCAACCGCAGTACGTGTCAAGCTGAATTCCAGCAAAATTTTTACCCATAATCGAGTGTGGGTAAAAGGCAAAAGGATAGATCGATGGCACAGGCAGTAACAAAATTCCACTGAGGGAAAATATTTGAATAATCAAAATTATACACAAGTGTTTTTGAACTGTGTCAATTTTTAGAGTTTTTTTTATAGGGAATTTAACTAACTTACTTCCGGAATCCGAAGTTTATATATCCTTGAAGTTAGCAATTGAATGATAGGATCGAACCGGAAATCAATCGCATTGATTGAATAGAACATTTTATTAATTTTCTTATATGTCAATTTTATACAACCAATTAAATCTTAAAAACCTCATAACTAAGCAAAAAATGCATTAATTTTAATTCGGAAAGCTTTCCAATGCTAGTTTTTACCAGGTTAATAAATCTGCATACTCAATTTAAAATGTAAAAAAATTCATATTTTTTTTACAAATTTTTGACAATTTTAACGATACCACTTATAAAATTTTTAAAAATTTTATTTTTGCCAGACAAGGCTAGATCGATTCGGCTGTCGATTCTGATCAAGAATATATATGATTTATAGGGTCGGAAATGACTCCTTCAATACGTATTTCACTTTTGACTGAAACTATTATACCCAGCAAGGATAGGACATAGGAATCTAAAACTTTTGTGTGTCCTTCCACAGGAAACATTTTACTTAATAAAGTCTGTATTATTCTGAGACCACAAGGTACATATTTCGTTTTTGTTAAATTTCGAATCGAAGGACATATCCTACATCTTTAGGTATTTCTTTGCGTGTAAAACAGAGCCAAAATAAAGCGACTAAAACTGTGGGGGGCCCTCAGGAACTGAGAGTCCTGGCTGGCACTTAAGTTATTGACGAGATAAAGTTGAGGATTTTGTGTGCATTTTTGTGAAGTGCCAGACGAAGCCCATAATGACGCAGGCAGAGTGGAATATGGAGATGGGATATGGAACAAGGAAGCATCTGGATCTGGAGCTGAAGCTGAAGCTGAAGCTGATGCTGATGCTGAAGCTGAGGCTGGAGCAGGCACAGAGCTGGCTGAGATGATGGCGTTGGCGTTGATGTTGTCGACAGTTGTGATGCCTGTCCCGACATCATCTCACGTAGGGAGATGAAGCAATATGTGTCCGGGACGAAGGCTTCAAGTGTTCCCGTTCCTGGCCAAGGGAGACGTGCTGTGTGTGTGTGTGTGTTTGCTGGCAGGTCTAGTTTGTTTGCTCAAATGCTCCTTTGCTCATGACACCAGAAGCAGGACAACAGCCAAATCAAACAACACGAAAAAAGTGGGAAAGGAAGGCGAAGGAAACCAATAAAAAGCCAGGCGAAACGGAGGCGGAAAAGAAAACATTGTGGCCAAGGAGCAATGCCAACATAACCAGGATACACAGAAACAAACATAATAATAGTTTTCCTTTTGGATAAGATATTCGATAATGAAAGTGATAAGGTGCAGGAAAGACTTGAACAGAATCCCTCTTCTTTATTATGTCACAAATGTCAAGTGTTGTATAAATAACTTGCAGGACATTAGTTCGTATTAAAGGGGTAAGAGCTAATGTGTATTCAATTTTAAAAAGGTTCCAAGTACTATTTTGAAGAGCCCTTTGATGTGTAAATGGGTTTATTGAACTGATGATTAATCTTATTGATTTATTTCACTGTGTAGATGTTGGCATCGCCCCATCGATTTTCACTTGAGCTGGCGAACGCGCCAAGCAAATTCTCTGGAGTCGCACAACCAAATGCGCGTAAATTTTGCTTAGCGCGCAATTCAAGTGCAAATACTTGACACCGCCGCACCTAAGCCAAGGAGAAGAGTGGAAAAAAATGGATTGGGTATGGGTATGGGTAAGGGAATGGATTGATGGATGGAGGAGCACCCACTCAGACTCCTGGCGATGCCATCAACTGGTAGGCGCGCTGCTTCAAGAGCCTCTCGAAGCCACGTCCTCGTCCTCGTCCTCGTCACACGTCAATATCCTTTTTGCGGTTTTTTGTTTTGCTTTTCCAACCCCATAAACATTCTGCAACTTTTCCGCCCCACTTGCCGATATCCTTTGTTGGCCTTTGTTTGTACCAAAAGAAGTTTTTGCACTGATGTCTGATTTATTTGCATTTAGGTTGTGGTCCATGCAGTTAATAAATTTCACTTACTCTCTAGCAGCCAGAGTGTTATCTCCCAAACGGAGGAGCGAGGGTGGAAATAAGTTTCGTATCGAAAGTTTTTGGGTTAAAGTTTCGCATACCTATGTCAAATTGATTAGTTGAGTCGGACAGCTGAATCCGAATCCAGGGATCCCCAGATTCTCCCCCGGGGCTCCAAGGGGAAGCAGATAATTTGATTGTGTGATTTATGTCACAATATATATTCAGCATTAATGAAGATGAAGGATACGGGAACTCTGTCCGGGCGTTTTGCACTTCATTAATTGTGCAAGGATGCGGTGCAGAAAAAACTAAACCCGAAACAAGCGAATAAAAATGGGGGAAATGGGAATTGACTGCAACTGTCGGGCAAACCGCAAATGCAAATGCAAATATTTGAAAGAGCGGACCGGAGATGGGATGTCTGTTAACTGGACTGCAAGCCAAACTAATTGTTACTGACACTCGCAGTGGCGGCAGCTTCTGTTCAGTTTTCCATCCATCCAGACAAACGTCCTGCAGCAATTGAAGGAAAAAAAACAACAGAGGAGCAGGAGCAACTAGCACTGGCGAGGGATGAGTCCTCGAGACAAAGTAAAGTTATTTGCGGTTCATTATTCACTTTTGGATTTTATTTCCTTGCGGTGCCGGTCGAGGCACGATCGAAGACAGTGATGGACAGCAGATTGAAGTCCGTTCGAGACACGTCGCCGTCGCTCCGCCGGTTAACCCATCCTTTAGCCATGCCAAAGCTGCATGCAAAATGACCCGACAATGGAGCACCGAAGCGGATTCGGATTCCTGCATTCAAATCCAGGCAGTGACGGAGAAGGGAACCAGTCGACGAGACATCGCTTAAATTGGGAAATTCAGCTTGGCTGCATCCGAGGCAGCGTTCGAGGAGCATTTTTGCTCTTTGCTTATTCATCTAGCAAGTTGAAAAATAAATTAATAATGCGTTCTTGCCACTGACGGCAGCTGCAGCCGCAGGAGGAGGAGAGCGTACGGAGGAAAACTCAACTGAGACACTGTCAGGGACTTGGAAAATTTCGTGCTGAGTTTTTTGCGCGCTAGCTTCTCATACATATATAAATATATATACGTGGTTCATACTCTATTTCTCGCATTCGTCTCAGGCGAACCCGGGACCACGTCCATCTGCATCTTCTTGCTGCCGACACCCCTGGCCCTAAAATTTAATTGCATCTTTTTCAACAATTCTAGCACGAAATGAAAATTCATGCAAACGCTCCTCAGATAAAAACGGAATCCCAAAACCAGTCCAGGACGGGGGGAGCGAGCCAGCGCGCACCACAAAAGGAAGGGCGAATGGCCAGAGGAATTTAAGCTTTCAGTTTAGTTCAGTCAAGATATGAATACTAATAGCCACTGGAATGTTTGAGTAGCCAAAGGACATTGCACTGCCAGTGCTTCTGTCAAGGAACTCGGCCAGATCCCAAGACATTGGGCCGGTAGCTGGTGGCTGGTGGCTGGTGGTTTCTGCTCCCTGCTGCCGGTCGGTCCTTTTGCGGGCAATGTCATTACTCTTATTTGATTCCGTGGACATTCGCATAAATGTCAGATTGGGTTTATGCACAGGCAAAAGTTGAGTCCTTGAAATGCATTTAAATGCAAAAAGGACCGGCCTAAGAGGACGAGGACTGGCCCTAGACAAAAACGAGGCGAAGAAAAGCAATTAGCGAAATTAATTGCTCAAGTTTCGCTTTGAAATATTCATCCGTGAGATTAATTCGCCGGCCGACAAAGCTCCATCATCGAGCGTCCGCCCGTCCGCCCGCAATTTGTGGCTTTGTCAATTGAATGGCTTTGCGGCCTGGCCCGCTGATTGACTTGGCCCTCTTCGTGCACGCGATTGAATTTGCAACTACGGCCAAGGACCTGGGCCTGCCACAGGTGTGCTAAGGAATATTGCTTTCTTTCTAGCAAAAGTTGAGTTATTAACTGGCAAGTAAGAAACTATGTAATTCCTGAACTGAATACTCATTTTAAAGCCAAGATTAATTATTAATTCACTTTGCTGTACTTAAAGGTTATGAAATACTTTGTGTGAGAAAAGATTTTTCTAATATTTTGAATGATGATTGTCTGAACTTACCGCTCTCGAAATGCAACGCCATCACAGCGATGGCCAGGAGCAGGGTGTGCGATAGATTCCTCATGGATATCTGCCGCTGATCGCGGATATGTCCTGGCTGGCTAATTGTCCTCGTTCCTGCGGCCATTTTACTTGGCTCGCTGTTGGGGCAGTTGAAGTGGATGTGGCTGAGACGGGGACTCTTGAATTTATAAGCAATGCTGCTGCTGCTGCTGCTGTTGCTGCTTCTCGTCGGCTTAGTGAGGTGCATTGAATTAATTATTTCATTGCTGCACACGAATTTGCAGGCCGCAGATTGTGTTGCGGGCAACAGAGGGAGCCCCGGGTTCTTTTCGTTCCTGTTTCTAGAATTCAGTTTCCTTCGACTACCACTTCTCCTTTGCCGACGTCTTCGACTGCAGCACTTACGGAATTTTAATTATTCAAAATAGGTTTTTAGCACAGCAGGCGGCAGGCGGCAGGATACTACAGGTTCGGTTCGTGGTTGCGGGGCTGCACTGCTTTAATTGCTTGTTTTGCTGCAATGCATTTTCCTGGGGCGTTGCAAATTTATAGCTGCAAAATACAAGGAAAACGATATGCGTTAGTTTTCTGCATGACCACAGAGAGTCCCCTCTACTCTATAGTATAGTATAGTATGTGTGTGCTCCAGGATCTATGTGCTGGTGTCCTGTGTAATGCAGCTAAGCCGCCGTGCCCAAATACATAATTCCTATGCAAATAAGCGTGGCCCAGCACTGAAATTTATGTGCGCACAGCGTTTTGCATATCTGCACACAGAATAGAGGCGGCCAAGAGCGAGATATGTCCTAATACACTGAAAAAAGTTTGTATATCTAAAGATTCGTGGAAGCTAATAGTAACTAACTATAACCTATATCATTCAAAGGAAACTTCTTATAATTTCTGAAATTGTACAGATTTAAGAGATATTGTAGTTTCAGATTTTATGCTTATATTTAAATATGGAATCTCGATTTTAGTACTTTTCTATCCTATTGTCTCCGTTTCTCCTACAGTTTATAGGTTTTTCATGGCTAAAAATCTTTTGTACATTAAGATCCAATTTTAATGTCAAATTTTACTACTTTTAGTTGAATAAAAACGGACTTCTTTTTCCCACTGTGCACATACGAACATCCGTATATATTGGAACCGCTCTTCTTGGACTTTTTTCCACAGGCGAATAAAACTCAAGCAGAGCGTAAAAAAATATAAACGACGGCAGTCAGGCAGGCAGGCAAACAGGCAAAAAACAAAATGCCAACGCAGGACAAGCTGCCAAATTAACAGAAATTTGGATCGTAGCCCGAACTTTTAGTCTCTGCAGGATAGTGCACAGGACTCTCTCTCTCTCGGTCCCCTCCTGCCCTGCCCTGCAGTGACAGCAAGCCAACTGAAATAATCCCGCAAAATATTGTGTGCGCATTTCGGATTTGTTGTCTTTGATTTGGCGCGGTTTTTCAGCCATTCCTGTATGAGTTTTTCCTCGCTTTTTATTCAACGTTTTTCTTGCTTTTTTATTTTTTGTTTATTGCCATTTCTCTCTACTTAACATGTTTTGGCAGTTGCGCATTTTGGGGTCCCGCAGCATACCCGCGAATGCTGCCAATATGAGGCTCATAAACAATTCTATTAAAATAAATGTAGCATATTTATAGCGGCCCCGAGTCGTGAGTCGCCCAAAGTGAAAGCAAAAGCAACTTAAATGCTTTATAAATCGACTCGAATTTGTATTCCTTTCTGTGTGAAGACTCAACCCAGACATAGGTAAGGAAAAAAGCCCAACACAAGCACCAGCAAAAAAAAAAAAAAACAAGCGAAGCAACAAATTTTGATGAAAGGTTCTGCCAGGGAAAATATTGATAAAGATGGCCACAAGGAGGGCCGTCGAGGAAACATGATTGATTTTATGTATTCGGGCCATAACAAAAAAGAAAAAAAAACCAGAAGCAAGCCTAGGGAGTACAGGCTCGAAGGAGCAATGATGATGATGATGATGACGAGCGGAGCAATGAGTGACCGCTTGGCCAACAGGACAGGAAATACGCAAAAGTACACAAGGATATTGCGTACCCAAAGCAATACGAATATACGACTTTTATGCGCAAGACACAACAGATATTCGAAGAGAGCCAAGAACCCACCAAATGAAAATCGAGAAACCGAAGGCCGCAAAAACCGCACGCACACTTGGATTGGGGGGGGCAAGGGTGTGCGTATGAGGAAATTTGTGTATTTGCCATAAAATAATTTATCAATTGGAAAATTTCTAGACAGACCCCCCTCTCTCGTTCGGCGGTGGGGAAGTAAAAGGAGTAAACCGGGCGCCCGGGAATGCCTGGGAAAAATGCCCAAGTATTTTGCTATCGCCACCCTACCATCTCGGTCTGTGTGTGTGCGGCGGCCCAGTCTGTGTATTTGAGGGTAAAATTATGACAGGAGGAAATAAAAAAGCATAAATTTATTACCGAGTCGAGGACGATGACTACTAAAACTTGGCCACAGGCCCGTGGGGAGCACTCGCTGCAAAGTAAAGATCATAAATAATCGAAAGGGCGACAATATTGGCGCAGGACAATGACAATGAGGGGAGGGAGAGAGAAACCCAACCGAACCGAACCCTGACGTTTTGTGGAGCATATAAATATGATTCGATTCGATTCGATTCGATTTGGTCGATGGTCGAATTAAAGAGGTTCTCCGTCAGCGGACACAAGGGGTTTCCGTGGAACGGCGTAGCCAGAATAATTGTACAACAATTTGCTGTAACAAGGATATCAAATTTGCACAAGCTGAAACCGAGCGTGGAGACAGCACTGGCAACAGTGACTGCGAACAAAATAAAAAGGATAACGAGCACAATAAAAGAAATGAAATCGTAGCCCCCGAAAACAGTTTGCTAATTGGACAAAGCAACCGAAAAATGAAAGCCAAGCAACAAGAGGATATACGCGCCAAGGATTCCCGACCGCCGTGTGTGACCCAAAAGCCAAATCCGCCGGCTCCTTTTTTTTTTGCTCCCTCTCACCATCCCCATCCTCCACTCAGGCTATTCAAATGCAGGAGAAAAAAAAATAACAGAAAAGGACAACAAAAAATTCCCTTGAAATGAAATAAAAGAGATTGGCTTAGTTAGGTCTAATTTCTCCGGGCAGACAAAGTGCTTAAAAAATAATTACACGCTGGCAATCAGCAAGTTGCGGTGCCACAGGAAACAGGAAACGACGGACACGCGACGTCATCCGTCCGTCTGTCCGTTTGTCCGTCTCAGTAGTAACCTTCCGGCGGTGCTGGTGATTTCGCTCGACTTTCCAGGACGCAGGACGCTGGCGGTGTGTGACTCGTTAGCAATTGACCGCTTGCTGGCACGTCAAATTCAATTTAGTTTGCTGGGCCCCGAAAATGCCATGCCGCAAATTCGCCAACTTACAAGTAATTAGGCAGCTCCACTGCAGCTGACCACGCCTCCGCCCACAAGGCGGCCAAAGGCCATCCCCACACACACATATTCACATAGAAGCACACCCACTAAAATACACAAGCAAGGACATCGAGGACACGCGTCGTCAGCTGCTTTGCGTGGACGATGGCATCGTTTGCTTGATTGTCATCGCCACAATGGCGGGTAGATGCAACTGTAGTTTTATACACTACAAAAAGGAAGAAATATTAAAAGGACCTAAAAATCTACCTTTAGTTCACAACTTTAACTATCACTTTGTTTTGCCTTAACTGTCTTGAAAATTAGATATTTTCAATTTGAAACTCTGCTGGCCGTATATAAAAATTGTATACTAAAATTCTATAGTTCGGTTTCATTTTTACTCACATCCTTGTAATCCCTTAGACATCATGTCGGAAGCCTGGCCCTGGAGAATTTTAATGCAGCGCCTTTTAAATCTTTTACGCCAAAAACAGACCGCCAGACCAGGCACAGGAAGAGAAGGCATTGACATAACCAAAGCCACCTTCTTGGTGTTTGCAGTCTTCATTATGTGTGCCACTTCCTGGGGTCCACTGATCAGCAGGAAGCCATTGAGTGCCAGGTGCCACAACAACCAGGATGGAGCGCCACCAAAGCCCCAGCCACCGGCCTTTAACTAAAGGATCTTGAAGGATTCTTAGCCATGGCTTTCAAAATCGTTCAGTAGAATAAATGTTTAGATCAGTGAAAGAATTTCCATGATCTTTGAATATCTTTCAAAAGACATTGAATGCACTTAGATCATTCTTTTGTTTGCAGTGCAACCAAAGTCTGTGTGGTGGTGTTGCAGCAGTTTCCGTTGTCGTTGGCTAATTGCACATTGTTCAGAGATGGTTGCCGGCAGCTACGATGGCACGAGTAGCTTTCTTTGCCGCTCTCTGTCTCTGTCGCCTTTTTACGTGTTTGACATGCACTTCGGCCGGGGTAATTACCAATTTGTGGCGCCAATTTGGCTGCCCATATCCGCCGCACCAAGTAACCAAGTCACCCCCAGCTAAGCTGAGGCAGTCGCAGCCGGCAAAATTTAATTAGTTTGCCATCCAAATGCTCTGTCACAGTATCTGGATAGTAGTCAAAGCAAATGACACTTTGCAACAAGGACCTCGGACTCAGAGTCGGACTCCGAAAGGACCGCAGACTAAGGGACAAGGAGCCAAAGGAGCCAAAGGAGCCAAAGGAGCCAAAGAGACATTCGATGGCTAGCCGCAGGCATCGCGCAATTATGAGCAATCGCAGCTATCCCTTTGACCCTTTGTAATCTCTTTAATGGCAGGACATTGACGATGGCAACACGGGCCGACGGCAGCTGAAATAAAAGCTTACGGCCCCAGTTTAATTTACTTCAAGTGGCCGTCAATTAATTTAATTTAAGCCTCTCGCACAAAGCATGATTACACTTTGACACTTTGACAACGGCCAGCTCACGGACGATCCGCATATCCTGGTGTATCCTGGTGACCCAGGCCCAGAAAAGAGTCCTGTTGCGGAAACAGTAAGCGGGGCCAAAAGGTTGCCAGGGCAATCGATGTCACATCTCTCATTTTCATTTTCCCCCATTGACCCGGCTTAAGCCAAACTTTAATTAAAGCAACTTTGGCCAGACGCATAAATGTCGATGCACTTGCTCTCTGATTTATGCACCATTTTTCTGGCTCCCAACGGCAGTCACTCAAAACTGCCAAGGGGATAACACAGGACACTCGACCACAAGCGCATACAAATCACTACACTTGGGAAAAAAGCTCAATCGGCAAAGACATAATTTAATTCAGTCTTTTTAAAGACAACTGAAAATCAATCAATGTCAATTGAATTAAATTGAATTGATATATAAAACTAATCTGTGAAAAACTTGTGCAGTCTTTTCTAAAACCTATTTCATTGGGTAATTGGATAATAAATACAGAACATCTAAAGGACTTTATTTTAAAAGTTAAAGCCTCTAGACAATAATTAAAATTCCTAATTCTAACCTAATTGATATCGTTCTCTCGTATTTGAGAAAAAACAACACAAGTGCTTTGACAGTACGTTGTTTTTCTACAAACTGTGATAATTTCCCTCTGTGCAGAAGCAGGGACAGCAGCTGTATTCGATTTCAAGGACACTCGATGGGGCAGCTGCCTCATCCGCATCCGGATGCTGCTGGCGCTTCTGCTGGTAGCCGGAAGAGCTCTTCACAGTTTATAGCTCCAAGTGGCCGTTGGCAAGTGCAAGTGGAAATTCTTGAGCGCACTCAGCTCTTCAACTGATTACGGTTTGTTTTCCATGCAAGCAACACTTCTACGCCCAGGGGGTGGGGGAGGGAGGGAGAGCCAGGACAATCGGCAAGGATACGAGGCTACAGGCTACGGACTACGAAATACGTAATACCGGATGTGTGTACGTGTGCGAGCTTAATGCGCTAAAATGATTAAGCTGACACTCTGGGCAACAATCGAAACTGGGCCTCTTTTTAATTGGCCCAAACGGAAATCGTTGGAGAGGTTAATGAAAATTTGATTAAACGTCTAATTGATTGGCGGTCTAGCGTGCAAGGCATTGATTTTTGTGTCTGGCCAACGGGAGGGCATTTTTAATTTGATTAAACTCAAGACGCTGCAAATATTTAACGCTAATTAAACTCGACAACCAACAGAAGCCATTCAATGGACATGCCAAGGACTAATTAAGATTTTGTCAATTACTTATGGCGAGTGCCACGCCCAAGGAAGGAAAAGGAGAAAGCGAAGGAGAAGGTGAAGCGGAGGAAGGTCCTGACGCAGCAAACTGCACGCTTCACTGTATCCTCTTTCTACTTATTTGTGGGTGACCGTATATACGGTGTATGTGTGTGTATGTCTATGCAATCATTAAAATTAATTTATTGGTTTCATTAACTCGACTGCCGAGTCTTTAGCAGCTCGGAGAGCACATTAGGCGCTTTAACGCTGCTCCCCCTTTATCCCCTGAAAGCTGAAATCCTCATCCTTTTCCGCTGCCTTCGAAGCCAAATGACACTCCGACGACACTCTGTTTCAGCCAAGCCAAAATCCGTTGAAAGCATAAGCCAGAAAACAGAGGCAGCGGGAAATGGCTCCCTGGTCCGCCCTCGTCGAAGCCTTTTGCGCTTGGCTGACCAACAATGAAAATATAATGTCGTCGGATCTACCCCTCCAGTCCCCCAGTCCCGGCCTTATTGTCAGTGGCCACCAAAATGGCAAAAAAGAATGAAACAAAAGTGGAGAATGGCGCTAAATGAAAATGAACTAGAAATAATCATCATTAGGCAGGCTGGGGGAGGTCACCTTTATGAACTTTGGCAACAAGTACCTACTTTCTCGGCCAGCTTTTAGCCTTAAATTCAACATTCGGAGAGCTAAGCAAAAGTTACAAGCCAAGTCCAACTAAATTGGTCCATAGATTGCAGGAACACAGGGAAACATATAGAATTTCATTCCTAAATTTGAGCTTAGAAAAAGTAGTTTGTTAAGGGAACCAAACAAGGAATTGCTCTACTTAAAAACTCTGAATCAATCATAGTAAAAAGTAAAGGATATTGAGTTTACAACCATTCACAATCAAGCTGAGATCATTTCCCTAAAAATAGTCTCGATTATCAAAGGATTTCCATCCGAAATATTTATAATTTCCATTAATCTAAACACTTGTATTCACCCAGTACACCTTCCCATTAACCGGGAGCTGTCAGGACTCTGTCTATATCTAAGCGGCTTGACACCACCACCACACTGCACCACACACCACCCGGTGGTGCACTTGCAGCCCCATTCGAGGAAGGCCACCCGCTTGATGCATTGCACTTTGGCGTGTTGCTGACGCCGCGGGTGAGCTGCGACTGCCGCAGTGCATTTGGCAAATAAGAAAAATTGCATAAATTTCATTAAACTCGAAATGTCAAGCAACTGTCGGTGGCCCCCCAACTCCGCGCCCCTATACCATTCCATGGGGGTGTGTGCACTATACGCTATATACATACATATGTGCCTTTACGTCAGCAATGTGGGCTGTCTGGGCCGCGGCCTGGCAATATTAAAAATTGTGCACCAAAATCCCCAAAGTAATTTATTAAGATGCCTCATGATGTTTCCACGTTCCGCTGTTTTTTCTATATTTACACCATTTTGTAGGGTATTGTAATTTCAGTTAGAAGCTTGTAACAATATGAAGGAGTCATTTCCGACAATATAAATCATATATATTCTTGATCAGCATTAAAAACTGAATCGATCTAGCCATGCCCGGTAAAAATGTATTTCTCTTCAAAAATTGTACATTTTTATAAGGGGTTACATCGTTAAAATTTTCAAAAATTTGAAAAAATGTAATTTTTTAACTTTTAAAACTCAAAGTGCAGATTTGTTAGCCTATTAAAAAGTAGCATAGAAAAGCTCCGAATTGAATTTGATGTATTTTTATCTAAGATATGATGATTTGAATATTCAAATTGAAAGGGTATATAACCTTCGGCCTTCGGAAGTTATCTTTTGTTACTCTCCTTACTTTTTTTATTTATTTACGCGCCGCTGACTTCACGCCATTAAAATACACAGTGCAACCTACATAGCGAACCCATTTTATATGCAAAAGTTGAAGGGACCATGGCGGGACACTTTCCTAGAACAGCTGCCTCATTGGAGTTTGAGCTTTATTTAGCCGGGCAGCAGACTCAAATGCATCTTAAGGACAAAAGGATACAGGAGTCTGAGTGACAAGAAAGCGTCGCAGATGAAAATGCACTGCAAATAAGTCCAAATTTGATTTTTTAAAGTAGAGAAGCCTTACATTTGCTCAAAATTATTAGAGATAAATCATTGCAGACTTTGGTGACTGAAACACTCGTAAATAATACTTTTTGCTTAGTAATTTATTCAAAAGGATACATAAAATATGGTAGAATAAAGACTACATTTATTGACTCAATACAGCCACGATGAGTCTTTAATTTTTAGCTCAGTGCAGAGATGTAGATAAAGATGGCACTCCTAGTGGCCGACTAATGCATCTGCAGAGCAGCTCCCGGCAGGATCGCATTCATCGTTAGCATCCTGACATTTATATGAGCTTCTGGCCTGGCCTGGCCTGGTCTTAGCCATTTTTGGCTTTGATTGCAATTCGCAGTTTTTGTGGCCAAGGCATTGTCATAAATTACTTTGCATTTGCTGCCATCCTTGTGGAGTGTATAGCTGTGTGTGGCTGTGTATTTGAAAATCGTAAATCAAACGAGTGTGAGTGGAAAGAAGAAAGGCGAACGAGGAGGCGGAGGCGGAGGCAGCGTCTTTGCCACACTGCGTATGTGTGATATTTCATAAGCGTGTCATGAATTCTAATTACCTTCTGGCAATAGGAGCAATTGCTATTTCTACGCTTTGCTTAGCCTCCTCGCTCGCTTCGCTTTTTGCATTTTATGCGCACACAATTCATAAATTTCGTTTTTAAATTGCTTTTCAAACTTTTTACACACTCATACACATTCATATATTAGCCTTGTAGAGGAGTTGGCATATTAAATTCCATGCAATGCAATGCCATGCCAGTGAAAAGAGCATTAAATAATCAGAATTATTTTAAAAATTAGCAGATAATGTCAATAATTAAATTCAAGCGAATGCATAACTACATGATAGCATGCAAATTTAATGCGAAAACACAATAATAATAATAATAATAATCAACATTGCTATTTTTTCCTC